TACTATCAGATGGTATACATCCCATAACTGGAGTTCTATAAGCAGAAACAGCACACCTGCTTGGTTTAAGGTGTTACAGAGTTCCCATCCATACCAAGACATCAGAAACTTGTCAGTATATTGCTTTGAGACCCTTCCTAAGAGGAAGAGTGTAAGTTGAAAAAAAGAACTGAGTAGTTCAGGCCACTTGGCATCCTGGAAGGCATTGCTAGACACAGCTAACCTGATAACATGTCCCCTTTCTGGTATAGGTTGAATGACTGCTTCTTCTTCCTCTATTCATCTGTCAATTTTGTTACCCTTTATTCATTCAAAAATTATTTGTTGAGCACCTACTATATGCTTGACATTGTGCTAGGCACTGGGGACACAATAATGAAGAAGACATGGCTCCTGCCCTCCTGAGGCTTATAGTTGAGTGGGAAATATATGCAAGAAAATAACCATACCACATAAAAAATGTACCATCTCATGGTTGAGATCATAAGAACAGGACACCTTATGTGTTCATAAGAACACATAAGAAGGTCCTATAACTTAGCCTTGGTCAGGTCAGGGAGTCCTCTCCAGTGGAGTGATATTTCAGTTCAGGCAGAAAAGATGAGGAGGAGGAGGTAGACTGAGGAGTGAAGACTGTACCATGTGTAGGGGGCAGGCTCTGCATAGCTCTGAGGCCGGTATTTACATCTGGCCTCTTTGGAAAACTAAAAGCAGTGGGAGTGATAAAACACGAAGCCAGAGGATTTGCAGGGCGCAAGGAGGTCAGGCCAGGGAGAGCCAGGGAAGGGCTCTGAGCTGTGGGTTGAGATGACCGGATCTCTCCCTTCTGGGGCACCCTTCCAGTCTACCTTGATTTAGAGCTTCCTTGAACATGTCTTTTCTGTCTTGTCACTGTGAGCTCGCTTGGAGTAGACGCTGACTTTTCTCTGTACCTCCTTAAGCAATGTATTAAACATCTGATGATGGAATGCTGTGGATGGGGACCATCCCCCGACAGGGAAGATGAGTTCTCAACCATAAGAGTCTGAGTCTCTCTCCTTTTCTGAGCAATTTTTTCAAACAGTGACATTTTCTTCAAGATCCAACAAAGTAGTAATGGTGCTTTCCAAAACAGATTTTCCCTAATTTGTTCCTAAGAAAGTCACTTGCTTGTATAAAGTGGAATCACCTAAGTTGTATATTTATTCATTCAAAGATGGAGATGTGTTTATAGAAGAGATAGGGAGCGAGCAGCCTAATGCTGTCTTCATGTTGTACGTCCTTCTTAATTACCCAGATCCTTTTAAGAGCATGAAAACAAGTGACTGAGATTCTGACAGCAACGAGCCATCTCTCATTTTTTATATCCTTGCTTCTAGACAGTGGTTTTATTATGTAGATTAGTACAAATTCACCATAGATCTAGTGTCTGGGTAAGAGCCAAGCATTTGCTGAGTATTTATGGTGTACCAAGTTCTTTCTTATAAAGGGGAAGCAGCACAGGAAAGTGGGAAAGGTCTTAGATTGGGCATTTCAATGGGTTCTCATCTCAGCTCTGTGACTGTGGGCACATTCAGCTCCCTCTAGATCTCTAGATTCCCCCATCTCTACAATGAGAGGGTTATAATAGATAGGTGGAGGAGGGACCTTTTCAATAAATATGATATGTGAAAAACCCAATAAAATAAAACATAAAAGGAGAACATCCCTATTAGTTGTTAAGAGAGACGTGGGAGTCCACAGCTCCTGACCTGCTGCCCACGTCTGCAATGGGCTCCCTCCCCACCTCTCCAGGATGGCTTAGCAGGCATCTGTGGAATTATAAGGCTCCAAAGAAATGGTTTGTCTCTGGGCTCCCTTCTTGCAGGAACATTCGGAGACTCTAAGTTGCCTCTCTCCCCGCAGGTGTCTCAGCCATTGTCATCCCGCACCTGGACCTGGTCATCTCCCTGGTGGGCTCCGTGAGCAGCAGTGCCCTGGCGCTCATCATCCCGCCCCTCCTGGAACTCATCACTTTTTACCCTGAAAACATGAGCTGTGCCACCATTGCAAAGGACATCATGATCAGCACCCTGGGCCTTTTGGGGTGCATATTTGGCATATACCAAGCCCTCTATGAGTTGATCCATCCCACCAGCCATTTCAAAGCCAACTCCACAGGTGTCTATGCACACCATTATCTATTTTTATTTTAAGAGCTCTCCGTCCTCCCATCCCCAGTTTGGCTTTTATTATGGATGTCATATATACTTATCAAACCCCAGCATCTCCATATTAACGAGTGGTTTCTTTATCTTTCCAAGAGAAATGTAGGTGACACAAGTCGGTAGTGACACCTCTCAGGCTGTGCCCTTTTGAGGGGAGGGTATTTTTGGAGGTCTTTTGTACCTCCTGACCAAAACCACATTCAACTATGGACATGATCAGCCTCATTTAATGGGAAAAGGGATGCGATTTACCTGTGATACTCCCGGAAACAGAAACCATACATATTTTTAAATACAAAAGCAATTGTTTCCCCTACTGGGCAGCAGCTGCCCTGAAAGCATCAGCTTTAGCCAAGTGGATGTTGGGGAAGAGGGCTTTCTATCTAGATAGACTCCCAAGGGGAAGAGTCACAGACAGACCAAAGAGAACTTAGCAGTAATTTTGTCCAACCATTGGCTCTGCCACTTATTTCCCGCGGGATCTCGGGCAAATTCCTCCCTCTCTCTGTCTCAGTTTTTCCACCTATGAAATGAAGGACTGGACTAAATGGTTATGAAGGGCTTTTCCTGCTCTCACATTCTGAAAGTAAAAAAAAAAAAAAAAAAAAAATTGATTATCCTTTAACCACATGTGTGAAAATTGGTTTTCCATCAGCAAGTTACCCTGTTGCCCTGGAGATATGGGTATACCAGACGTCAGTTAAGGATAAATCAAATCTCTTAGTAATCTGTCCTCATTATGGTGACTTTGCTACCTAGAAGGACATCATCCATCTACCTATCTATCTTAAAGCCACTGAGAGCTGATTTAGGCTGGAAGGGCTGAGAAGTTTGGGGGGTAGAAAAGGATTTCATCATGTGCAAGACCTACTGACCTACTTTTAAAAATAACACTCAGCTGAGGGAAGGGTTTTGAAAAGCAATCTTGGTCTCTACAGATGGGATTACACATTGCTATGTCCTTTTCTGAACGACAATTTTATAATACATAAGCCTTAAAAGGTGTAGCCCTCTGACCCACTAATTTCACTTCTAAAACTTTATCCTAAGAATCTTTTGTTTGCAAAAATTTATGCAAGAGGAGTTTGTGTTATTTATAATAGTAAAAAGTTGGAAACAGACAACATTAGGTTAAATTATGACTTGTGCAGAATAAAATGCTATGATGCCCCCAAACATTGCAAAAAATGCCCTCATGGATATGCAAATATAGTTGTGGTTTATCAGTGGAAGAAAGTGGATTAAAAGCAATATATGAACCAAAACTAGACAAAGACATCACAAGAAAATAAAGCCTCAAACCAAAATCCTGAAATCCTGGGATGTGATCAGTAAAAAATATATGCAACCAATATAAAGGAGGAACTCTCGGCAAGGTAAAAAGATTTATAATAATCCACTATATAATGATGTCTCAGTCAATTATGGACCATATATAAGAAGGTGATCCCTGAAGATTATAATGGAGCTGAAATTCCTATTGCCTAGGGGCATCATAGCCATAAAGGGTCCTAGTGCAACGCATTGCCTCACACACGAGTATTTTTATCGTACCTTTTCTATGTTTAGATACATGAAGTGCCATTGTGTTACAATTGCCTGCAGTATCCTGTACAGTAACATGCCATACAGGCTTGTAACTCAAGAGCAATAGGCAACACCACATAGCCTAGCTGTGCAAAAGGCTATACCATCCAGGGCTGTGCAACTATATGATGTTTGCACAGTGACAAAATTGCCTAATGACGCAGTTTCTCGTCAAGTAGCACATGACTATATTACCATTCCAGGTTTCAAATGAGCCCGTAATTCAGGGCCGATTCGTGGGTCTGTAAGTTGTCATGTAGGACAGGACAATGGACAAACCCAGGCACCTGACTTGGGTCCACCTCTCTTCATTGGATCCCTGCTCCAGACCAGCTGCCAGTGGACCCAGCCCTCAGCACCTGCCACATTCACCCTGAAACCCAGTGCACGCAGCTCTAAGAGGCTGCCTCTATCTCCCCTAGTACTAGAAGGGCCTATTCCTTGGGTCAGACACTATGGGTCTGGCCCTAAGCAGAGAAAACCAGGGCCAGAGGAATTGTCTCAAGACCAAAAGGACAAAGCATGCATGTTCTTACATTAGAGGTTGCAAATTGGCCTCCCTGGGCCAAATTTCCCCACTGAGAAGTCTGTTTGGCCCCTTTCACCCCTGCAGTGTTTCAAAAAATATTGCTTGCTAACATTTAAACATTGTAAGTTTTCATATAAAAGTCTGGGTTTCCAGCTTCTCTAAGGAAAAAAAATTGAAACTATTTGGCAAACTGGGTCTGCAACATTCTCATGTGGCACTAACTGGCTGCATCTAGAAAGCAAAGACCCCTATAAGCAACATGTGCCCTTTCCAACTCACCCCAGTTCCATCACCCCTGAGTGTATCTCCAGCTCGAGATTGGGCATCAGCTGCCTCACATCAATGCATATGTGCTGTTATGAAAAGGAAAAAGGGAAGGCACATGTGCTCCCTGTGCTCCTCATCACTCATTTATGTCTCATACTTGGCTCTGCAGGCACCTGAGTTGTAAACTATCGTAAATACACAGAGCATTCTTAAATCTCTCTCCCAAGGAAGCCCCCCACCCAGCCCACGCCCTGCCTCCCCAGGATATACTATGCCCCACTGTTAATTGGGCAAATCTAGAAAAGACTACCTAAACTAATTCTAGATGTTAATGGGGGAATAGACTGAGATCTACTACTTCAGGCTCTTCATTGCATGTAGGGGTTGGAGTAAAATGAAAACCGTTAATACTCTCACTCTGCTTTTATAAGTTAATGACAAAAAAAAAAAATTTAATGAGACAATCACAAAGATACTTCAGGAGAGCAAGACTGGGTCAGTCCGAACGTGGGGTCACAAAACATGTTCGTCATATTTCTTGACTGTTTGGAAGATGAGTTAAGCTCTTAGACAGAAAGCCACAGCAGTAAGGAGGAACACGGAGTGGCCAGCCCGGTAGACGTCCTGAGGTGTCAAGGGCAACCAAGGTCTCCCTACCTTAGGTTCAGGCCGCTTGCCCACACCTAACATGTAAGTGGCACAAAACGATTTTCAGTGAGGGTAGTAGCATCACCGTAGGAAGGGGCTTGAAGGGGGACAGAAAATTAGAATTTGGCCTTGACAAATACAAGACAGAGGAAGAGGGACGCCTTCCTCACACCCCTTCATCCTGCTGTCGCTGGTGCCACATTACACGGCCTCTAGAGAGACATTGATCTTGAAACAGCCCAGACGTTTCTCGCCGCTGCTTAGGATGTTCTGGATGCGGTAGTTTCCGGTACTGATCAAGCCAGGCAGGTTCAGGTGGGGTAGTGTGATTACACTCTTGGGCAGGGAGTACTTGCCCTGTGGAAAAGCCAACGGATCACAGGTCAGTGGGGGCCTCTTGATGAGACTCTCACCTAAAGCCACACCTAGGACTGTGGCCATGAACTATCCCTCCTCCCATTCTCCTAAGAGCCACAGGAGACTAGAGATTGCCATAGCAACCATGTAGAGCATGGAACGTTACTGCTAAAAGGCACTGAAGGTCACATCGAAGTCCAAGTCTCCCATTTAGTAATGAATAAACTGAGGCTCTCAAAAGATAAGCAGTTCAGAACAGATCACAGCAATTTACACCCATACATGGGGAGCCAGATCTGCGGGAGGAGAACGCAGGGGTCCTTCTCTCTAAACCCCACATCTTTACTCCAGTCTGAGGCTCTCCCTCCCTGAGTACTTACTTCTTTGAAGGGACAGTGGCAGGGAAGCCCGTAGGCATGCAGGGGCTCTGGGCAGGGCTCTCCAGGGGGGACGTAAATATCAAGTATATCGCACATGTCTTCATAGGTGCAGCTACCAATTTGTTCCACACATGGGACTTTGACCCACAAACCAGCCATTTCCTTCTGCACAATTAATTCCACCTGGTGAAAAGAGTTTGAAAAAGCATCAGTTCCAAGGCAGACATACTAGCTCATCTGCCTCTTTAAAAGGTCATCATTTCATTGTAATCACACAGGTTTTAATCGGTTGGGATCTCAGAGACTTCCAAACCAGAAATGACAACGCTGTGGCAAGTGCCCCATATTACCCTTTCCTGTGCCCATGCAGACATGAATAATCAAATGTGAGGGTTTTTCCTCCTTCACTGAATCACAGCCTTAGAATTCTTTAGGTCGTCAGCACCCACTGGTTGGAGCTAACACAAGTTGAAATGCATTTGTCATTACCTAACTGTTAATTGGCTCACTATGTAGCATATAACTAGACTTTCCAGAAGTGTAACTACAAAAGGCAAGTAAACTTATAAAAGGAACTTGAACCGCATTAGGGATGACACACAAGACTGGAGAGGATTTTTACAAAATGCTCAATGTCAACAAATGTTTGGAAAAGCCAAATCTGTTGTTACTGGTTAGAGGATAAATGGGTTCAAACATTTGGAGGCACTTTGGCAATATGCATCAAAAGGCCTAAAAAGTCTGTGTCTAGATGATAAGAAAAGTAAAAAAAGATGCTTTTCAAGAATAATTTCTGCAAAGGTGTTTATAATAGCCAAAAAACAAAACAAACAGAAAATTGCCCTGGAAACAAACTAAATATCTGACATTAGATTTGTTAAGTGCATTATGACAGATCTATAAAATATTTCTGACATTCAAAAATGATTAGGTAGATATAAGCCAAATGCCATAGAAAGAGGCATGGAACATATAGTATGATGCAAAAAAAAAAGAGCAAATTTAACAGTACATGTCATATAATCCTATCAGTATAAATATATATATATTTACAAATGCAGAAAAAATTCTGACAAGATATTTCAATAGCTACCAATGACTATCTCATGAGGAGTTAGATTATAGGAGGACATTTACAAGGAGTACTGCTTATTTTCATGTATATTAAAATTAGCATTATAGGCAACTATATGGAGGAATGTTCCAAAATGTTAAAAATGCTTACCTCTTACCATGAGGTAGTGAGATTTCAGGTGATTCTTTTATTTCCCACCTCCCCCCATTCTGACTATTTGCAACTACATAACACTTGTTAATTGAAGAGTCTGTTTTCTAATTAACAGCACCACTACCAAAACCAAAGTGCCCAACCCAAGCTGCCAAATAACAGTGAGCACCGTGCCACGCTGCCCGAGAGACGGTGCTCTGCCTGCCAGGCGTGCGGAAACCTGTCATTCGTGCGCTCAGCTGGACCCTGTTGGGACTGCCAGCAGATTCCTTCCAATCTCCAGCACCATGACGATGAGATTCTGCAAACGTCAGTAGGAGTCTACAAACCCACGCCTCCTTCGCTGCTCTGGGATGCCCGGATTCTCGGTTCCCTGAGCATATGTCACTCAGGGACCCTGTTGGCTGGCCCACGGCACCTTCCCTCCAGCTCCTGACCGATCCCACTCACCCCTGGGCTCACCTTCAGAGGAGAACGGAGGGTGACACTCGTCTGGGTCTCGGCACTGACAGTCACATTCCCAGGATCCACAACGGGGTTAGGCTCCACACTCAGGCTTTTGATCAGCACAGGGTCCTTCCCCTCGTCACAGTTCTCCCAGGAAAAGCTACTGACCTGGTATGACTAGGGACAATCACGGCAGCAAAAAAAGAAGAGAAAAGTTGACCAAGGGAAATCTCACCGGTTAGACACATCAACAGAAATGACCTTGGGCGAGGTGGCTCCCCTCTCTGTGCTTCATCGGTAACTGAGCGTCAGTAAACTTGGGATGAGACTTGTCCTACCATTTCATTGGCAGTACTCAAGTAAAAGACTCAAAAGACATAAACTTCCAAAAGTGTGCTAAACTATAAAGCACAGTATACAAGACCTTGAAGTGGTTAATGCTAGAAGAGGAACTGGAACTCAGTGTTACGGATGCTCAGGCACTCAGAACGGGAGACAACCCTTATTGGTCTCTGGTAAGTGCCTCCTCGGCCCTCCCTCCTCCCTGCTCCCCACACTTCCCCAGCCAGCCTTGGGATCTCCTTAGAGGGAAGCTCCTGGAGGGTTTCCCTTTGCAGGAGCCCAGGACCTTATATCCCAGTCACGCACCCCGCCCCTCACCCCATTGCAGGTCCAGGGACGATAGGAAACACAAAACACAGGAGGAAACATAACATCCCAAACCTTACCCTCAAGGGGTGTGCAGTGACCCCAGGAAGGGAACAGGGCACACAAGAAACAATCCTGAGGGAGCCACTTGTTGGTAAATGACCCTCGTTGAATGAATGAAGTTCCCCAATCCCGACCAGCTTCCTTACTCCCACACCATTGCTCCTGCCCTGTCCCCATCTGAGTTGCCCTCCTCCCCTCTGCCGAGCCACTTCTCTTCTTCCTTCACGTCGCCCAGAGGTCTCCTGATTCCACCATCTTGTCCCACAATGCGTGACCACTGACTCCCTGTTCCCATGGTTCCCTTCTCATCTATGATCTTTCAAACTTCCCACACACTGTGCAGACTCTCTGCCCACCTCTCACACCATTCCCAGCCCCCTCTGAGGAACTTACAATACACCTACCATGCACATCCCCACTTAGAAAGGGAACCTACGAGTCCCACACCCCCAAGCCGATCCCCATCATCAACACACCCACAGCCAACCGGGCCAAAAAGAAACACCTAACCCAATCTGGTTAGGTGACAGATTCTCTCTGGCTCTGATCTGGGAATTGAGATGGAGGCACAGTCACTCAGAGGACTTTGGGCTTTGCATTGTTATTGGGTCATTGCTTTGGGATGGGGCCAGAACTCGAGACCCGTGACCATTGACTAACACAAAGGGACAAGAACAAAGGGCCTGTGGAAAGGAGAACAGATGGAGTCACCTACCCCCACCCCTCCCCTACAAAATAGGCACTGAGGGGCATGGCTCTGGAGTGAGACACGGGGAAAACAAGGCTTTAGTCAACATACATGGGTTGAAATCATCATTCAGCCACCATATCATGTGACCATATAAGCAGTTTCTTCTTTGGAGTCCCAATTTCCACATCTTTTAGGTGGAGGCATTTATTATACTTTCCTCTCGGGGTTGTTGCAAGGGTGAGAGCATGTATGTAAAGCTCATAACACAATGTCATGCCCAAAGCATGAGCTGGCTCACTAAATGACAGCCATTAACCATCCCAGCCTCCACTTCTTGCCTCTGGTTCCATGAGATTCCCTATATACCTGGAGTAAACTCCCCTCTACTCAAGCTTCTTGGAATAGGTTCCTGTCACTTGGAATGAAACACTGCCATGTCTAAGAAGGGCAGGACAGTGTCTGATTCATCCCTGTGTTCTCCATGGCCCATTATATAGGGTAAGAGCCAATAAATGCATCCTTCAACATATATTCCACAAGTATGTGTGGAGCAATGATCACAGACTCTGAGCTAAGTGCTTGTGTTAGTAGTGGTAAACACCTGGAAATGTCCCTGCCCTGTCTTAAGGAACTTGGTCTAAGGTTCACATTACCCACTATGACTTCTGAGTGCCATAGCAAAACAAATGGTAAGGCGGAGAGTAACAAAGGACTTACTTAAATAGGGTGATGAGGAAGTGATACCTAAGCTGGACATCTGCAGGATGAGGGGTGAGCCGTCTAAGTACAGAGAGAAAGAATGTCCAGGCAGAGGGCACATGTGCGAAGACCCTGTGGTAGAAAGCAGCTTAGCTGCTCTGGCACTACAAGGAAGCCACTGGGTTAGACACAGTGGACAAGAGACCCAGATGAGGTCAAAAGGGTGGCAGGATCGTTTCATACAGAATCTCACAGGTCATAATCAAGAGGCTGAATTTCCTATAAGTGCCATGGAACCCCACTGCAAGACAGTACCAGGCTCTGGTTCATGTTTGAGACCAGCTTGGAGAGGAACAAGATGGAAGAAGGGAGACCAGTTAGGAGGTCACTGTCACCTGAAAGAGTGCCTGGAATGAAGAGTCGGGACGGAAGGTGTGTAGGAGGATGAGCCATTTTCAGGGGCTGCTTTCACAGATTCCACGGCAACCTGATTGATATTGAGGACTGATCCCAGGCTGGAGGAAGTATCCAGAATGTCCTGTTGGGGCTGAAGAATCCCCTCCCCTCTCCTTCCCCCAGGCCCTTGGGGAGACATAACAAGGTGGTTTCCAGATGCCTGACTAGAGGCCTCTGTGGCAATGAACTCCACAGTGGAGCCAGCCTCATCCGGAAAAGGAGGTAACCTAACATGTGGGAACAGGTAACAGGGGCAACAGAGGGCAGAGGGGAAAGGCATAGCCCTGAAGGCAGAAATATGGTTACAAATCACAGACCTGGGTTCAAACCAGACCTCAGCCACTCTCACTGGCTGAGACCACAGCTAAGTGAATCCTTCTTGGCACTCAATTTCCTCATCTATCAAATGGGCATAATTATATCCTCTCACAGGGCTACTGAGAGAGGGAGAAGTTTGTATACAGAAAGCACAGGTCACAACTCTTCGAAACTGCCAAGCGCATGAAAACAAGACTGAAAAAGTATCCCAGACCAGAGGGCATTGGAGAGACATGACAACAAAGACAATGTAGTAACTGGATTGAATCCTGAAACATAAAAAGACCATTCATGGAAAAACTGGTAAAATCCAAATAAAAAGCCTACAGTTTCGTTAATGGTAATGTAGCAATGTTGGCATCTCAGTTTTGACAAGTGCACCATGGTAAGTAAGATGTTAACATTAGGGGAAGAGAATGAGGAATATGTGGTATCTCTGTTCTATCTGTGCAACTTCTCTGTAAATCTAAAATTATTTCCCCCAAAAAAAGTTTAGGAGGAAAAAAAGTACATGGCTTACCACATAGCACACAGGATGTGCACAATAAATGACAGTCGTTGCACAGTATCAGAGTCTGTATTCCCAGCGTGGGGCTAGACAGTCTCCCCTGTTACCTAACACTTGCCACGGCCCAACATCCCGAGAACGGTTAAAGCTGGAGGAGGAACGGGAACTCAGTGCTCTGGATGCTCAAACACTCACAGCCTTCATCTGGCCTGGGATCTCAGGGTCACGCTTTGAATCACGTGATCCCAGAGAAGTCCTGAGTGATGGTAGATAAGGATCAAAAGGGCCACTTGGCTGTGTGATTTTGGATGAGTCCCCTATCCTTCTCTATGGGCCTGCGTGTGGTGGATGAACTCTATGATGTCACAAGCCCTCTCCAAAACTGTCAATCTCAGAACCCTTTGGAATGGTCTGGAAGGGCATCCATAGCCAAGACATATAGAATGGGGATGTAGGGCAAGCTCGAGCCTTAGCCGAACTCCACCTCATAGCGGTCAGACCTGGAGCCAAGAGAAACATTCTCAACCTACACTCATGGACAAACTGGGAATCCCCTGGAAGAATAAACCCAAAGATCCTAGCTCCTTCTTTCAATACGCCAACAGGCTCCTTGCCCTGTAGCAGGGTGAGGCTGAGTCCAGTGGCTTATATCACTTTATCTAAATTTTAGAGCATTTCCCTTCACCCTCAACCCTCAAGAAAGGCAGGTTGACATCATGCCCATTTCACAGATGAAGAGTCTAAGCAAAGCTTAAGGAGCCCCAAGGCTTTGCCCACGGATTAGAGACAGAGATAGGATTAGGAATCAAGCCTCTCAGCTCTCAGTCCTATCCTATCCTATCCCACCTTCCCCTACACCACACTGTTTCTTACTCTCAGACAAATATTTCCAAGGTGTTTGGGAGGAGGGGATCCAGGCCGGGCCTCTCTCTTCAGCTGCTGCCAGAGACAGTGAGTGTCTTGTCCCCAGCGATGCATCAAGGAGGCAATGAAACTAGGCTTCTCTGGGTCCCAGAAAGACAGAACTTCCCTTCCCCAAGGGTCTGGAGCTTGGGGTAAGTAAGAAGTGAAAAAACAAGGTCTCCACGGTACACAACCAGGAGCAGGGCTGGATCTTTGTCACCAGAGGAGCAAGTCTGGATCTTCTGGCTTGGAGGGCCTTTCAAACACACCCACAGGACAAGCCAAGCCACAGAGCAGTACAGAGGAGGAGGGGAGCCAGGCCTTTTCATGGGAGAAAGGGTGGACAGATAAACAGGGCCGAGTCTCTGGGCCTGGAAGGGGTCCCTAAATCCTCCAGCTAGGCAAAATTTCACTCAGACGGTTGGAAAGAGGGCAGGGGAGTACATAAGTGAGGTTAAAGCTTCTGAAGAAGTCTGGAGCTGAGCAAGGTCTTATAGCCCGCCCTCACGTACAGATAGGCGAAAGGATTCAGAACAGGCCTCCCCAAGATGTGCCACTTTGGCATGTTTCCTACATGCATGTGTATGTAATTAAAATTGGTATTTTCTCTCCTTAATCTGTCTCCTGTCGATTCGATTATTAGACCAACAGACAAAACCTAGAAGAGCAGAGGAAAGCTCCTTATTCTCCCACATAGGGAAACAAACGCTTAGAGAGACTCTGCTGCAGAGGAATTCTAGAGATGGGAATAGCTACTACCCTCCCCCTACTTCCACTCCACCCCCACCCCACCCTGGCCCCGGCCCCGGCCCCCTCCGCCCTCCGCGCTTTCCCATCCCAATCCGCCCGGCCAGGATAGAGGAAACAGCCTCCTAAAAGAGCCGCACTCACCTGTTTCATTGAGACCTTTGCAAGGGCCTCAGGTCCAGCGAGAAGCAAGCCCAGGGCGATCAGGAGCGGAGTCCGCATCCCGGGCATCATTGCAAAAGGTGGTTCTGCGCGAAGATGACTACAAGGTCTGGGACCGCAGCGACGCCTTTAAATGCCTGTCAGAGTTGGTTATGCAAAGCTGTGTATTGTGATGCAAAGCTAAGCGCGGTCACTTCCAGATTCGTCCCAACCCGTTGCGATCTGGTATTTCAAGGCCTTCAGTTGGAACAGATCTTTCCCAACTCCGCACCTTCGAGGTTCCTCCTTGATCTCCTTTTCTCTGCGTCGGCGTCAAGCCCCCAAGTTCAGAGGAGCGAAGGTGGAGCCCAAAAGGAAAGGGGCGGGGCTGAGTGCAGGGACAGGGCGGAGCTGAGAGCCAGAGAGGGAGTCTGGGAAGGAAGGTTCTTACAGAAAGCGAGGAGGGGCGAGGGGAGGCGCGAGGGGGGGCGGGGGGCGGGGTCGGAGGGAGCGGGGCGGAGCTGTCGTTTCCGAGCTCACGCTGTGAAGGCCAATGCAGAAGATCATTTACTTTTCATCAAACAAGATTTTGTTAAACTACCACGTTTTGTTTTAAAGAAGCAGTAGGGGTATTAACTAGATTGTAAACCCCATAAGGAATGAAACCATGACCTTCAGTTGCTGATGTGTACTCAGTGCCTGACACATAATAGACAATCAATTTTTGTTGAATAAACGGATGTATGAAACCTACCTAATCATCTTCTTAAACTTTTTTTTGGAATTGATTTTATATTTACAAAAAAGTTGCAAAATAGTACAGAGCTAGCTACCTGTTTCCCCCATTGTTAACAATAAGATGGAGTGTTTTTATGAAACCTGAGAAACTGTCATTAGTACATTACTACCAACTAAGTTCCAGACTTTACCTGATTTTTTTTAAGGTTTTATTTATTTTTTAGATAGAGGGGAAGGAGGGAGAGAAAGAGAGGAAGAGAAACATCGATATGCAAGAGATACATGGGTCAGTTGCCCCTCTTACACCCTCAAGCGAGGACCTGGCCCACAACCCAGGCATGTGAACTGGCCAGGAACCAAATTACAGCCATTCACTTCACAGGCCGGCACTCAATCCACTGAGCCACACCAGCCAGGGCTACCTGATCTTTTAATAAGCTTTTTAAATTGCACACCTTCCTCTCAATCTGGTAAGTGCTTCCCTCTTTCATCTAGCACAACCTCTTCATTATCCACAAGTGCAATCTGAAGCCCCAAAAAGAGGACTTGTCCAAGTCACACAGCAAAAGTAAAGCTAGAACTCACTTCTGAGTCTGATCCCACAGTAGTATGAGAGATGTCCATGACGCTGTGCTCCTTGATGGATGTGTGGGTGGTGGGTGGTGTAACTGGTTCCCAACACTGGTATCATTGGGGCCTCATTGGGAAATAGGAAGGGGCTGCAAGCCTCCCTCCCAGCATCATTTCTTCTCCATCTTTGCACCTGTCAAGGCCCTTCTACCCCCATTAATCACTTCCCCCCAGCTGCTCAATACTCCCCTCAGCGCACTGTAACCACTATGAAAGGGAGAACAGACCAGAGGCTTGTTCAGAGTGTTTGCTCCAAGTCAGGCAGACCCAGGCTTGCACACTGTGAGATCGTGGTCAGGGGCTTTAACCTCTCTGGCCTCAGTTTCCTTATTTGCAAAATAAAGATTAAAGAAATGATGATGATGATGATGATGATAAACTACTTTTCAGCACTAAGCTCTTTATTCATTCAACAAATACTTACAGATTCAACCATTGAACAAGATAAAGACCTTGTCCCCACCCCCACATGGACTAGGGTCTATTTAAGAAGAACAATCAGCAAGTAAAGCAATAAACAAGATATAATCCAAGAGTCATAATATCAGAAGACAAGAAATTAGGTTAAACTAATTCAAAGTGCAATGCGTTACCTTCTTGAATCTAAAAAAACCTCTCTGAGGAGGTAGACTTTGACCATCCTTGGGAGAAATGAGAAATATGTGGGGTAAGAGGAGTGTGAAATTTAAGCATGGTCAAGCCCATCAGGCCTAGTTTCCAGCCAGGCCCACATGCTGCAGTCCTCTGGGGAGCTCTTAGAAATCATGATGCCCAGGTGACTCTCTAGACCGATTCCATCTAAATCTCTGGAGGTGTGACAAAAGCATTCGTTTCTCTGTTTTGTGTTTTAGTCTCAAGTGATTAAAATGTACGGTCAAGGTTGACATCCACCTGGTATACAACAGGTGCACACATACATAAAAATAACAATGAAAACAAAGCCCTTGTCCTTAAAGAACCCACGTTCTAGGAGTGGTGGGTTGGAAATGTGGAAGTTGTTGTCACTCTAATGTTCATCATCCTGGATGGGTTTCCTGGAAGACTAACTGAGGCTGGGCCTCGGAAATACATGGTCCAGCATGACCTAGCATGCCTGTGCGCGGTCGGGTTGAGTGTCGCTGGGGATACCACATGTGTCTAAAGGCTGGCGTGGTGAGTGCCCTGAATGTAATGAAGAGTGATTACCACCTCAGATGCATATGAAGCAGGCATGTGGGTCAGATGTAGAGGTCACAGACAAGCAACTGTGGGGGAGGAAGAAACTTCTCTCTACTTTCTAAGTTCTTTTGGATGATCTAATAATCAAAGATATGAGACAGATTCACAAGAGAAAATGAACAGATTTAATGACCTACCCATGTATGGGAACCCTACATACACAAGAGAGTCAGAGACTCCATGTACATGAAAGGTTCAGAGACAGAAAAGGAATATGAGGAAAATATGACATTCTGAGCTAAGGATAAGGTCAGGCACCTGGGTCTTCTGAGGTGAGGAAGGTCAATCAGGGGATAAAAAGAACAGATGTTCAGTAATGAGGTGTTTGCCTTGTCCTACTTATAGCTCATAGAAGGTTATTTCTGCTGAAAACTCTTTATCAAGGATAAAAAAGCTGTGGTACAGTCACAGAATGAAATACTACTTGGTCATAAAAAAAAGAAACTCTTACCCTTTGCAACAGCATGGGTGGAACTGGAGAGCATTATGCTAAGTGAAACAAGCCACTCAGAGAAAGACAAGTACCATATGATTCACTCATGTGGAATCTAACGAACAAAATGACCTCATGAGCGAAATAGAGACAGACTCAGATACAGAGAACAGACAGACAGCTGTCGGGGGTGGAGTGATTGGGGAGCTGGGTGGGTGGGTGGAGGGCTGGAGCCAAAAAGAGAAAAAACTCATGGACACGGACAAGTGTGGTGACTGCTGAGGGGAGGCAGCGTGAGGGGAGATGGAGGAGGGGATAAGGGGACAAACAGGGATGGAAGGAGACTTGACTTGAGGTAATAAACACTCAGTACAGTGTACAGATGTTGTATTATAGAATTGTGCACCTGAAACTTATATAATTTTGTTAACCAGTGTCACCTCAATAAATTCAATAAAAAAGACAAAATTTTTAAAAAAAGAAAGAAACCTTTCCAACAAAAAAAAAGAGAGATAAATAAATTCCTTAAGGGAAAGATGAAAGTTTCCCATGAGCCTTCAGGGCCTTGATTGCCTTCAGCTCAAAGTAATCCACATGCCAAAGTAGTACATCTTGGGAGGACTGTTCTAAACCCCTTCAGAACTGATGGTGTGGACATGCAAACACTGAGTTACTGACTGGCCTCTGTCTGTTTTCAACCCAGTTAAAGCCTGGACATCTGGTTTTAAATCTTGGCCTACCCATCTAGCTCAATCCACAGAGCATAAGACTCTTAAATCATGGCTATTCTTCTTATTATAGAGTAATTTTCTGAGGAAGTGTTAAAAATATTCAATTGAGTAAATCTGAAGATCTAAGGGCTTTATTAAGTGATTCATGAATTGGATAGTATCCCGTCTAACAACGAAAAGGACTCTGTGGTGTTGTACACAATGGCAGGTCTTTATAGGAATAAGGGTGGGGCAAGGGAGCCATTAACAAAAGCAAAAGGATTATTTTTTATACTGAGGCATCTTCTTTTGGGGGGAAAGGGAATGGCGAGGGTTTTTATCCTCTCCCTTCTAGGCAGGATAGTCAAAGGGCCCGTATGACAGATTACCTTACTGGTTCTTGGCCAGAAAATTCCTGACTGGAATTTTAAGATTGTATTTCTAGGAAAGGTTGAAACAACAATTAGGTCAGGTACTAAATCTAGGTTTGGTATCATGGGCTTTAGCACAAGTGATGCCATTTTGCGTCTATGGTTTTTCTCTTAAACAGAAGGCAAAATCATGACTTTTATTGATATAAAATGAGCATGCATTAGAGATTTAATTTAACTCCTTCAGTGAGGGAAACTGTAAGATGTTACAACCTGTGCAAAGAAGAGTCCAAAGAACAAACACATTTATAGATCAGGAGTATTGAGGTAAATGTGCAAATGAAGGCAAAGCTGGCCTTGTCCATAAGAGGAGAGAGAAGTCAATTTCACCTCCACAGGACAAAAATTTACACATGTAAAGGCAAAGATTATTTTCCATTCTCATGAATTATCTGCAACTTCAGAGGCAATGAATGGCACAGAGCCCATCATAAAATCAGAACTAAATATGTGGAAGAGTATGCTCTAAAAAATGGATAGTTTTCCAACTGAAGCTCTTACAAATAAGTAAATTTAAAAACAAAAAAACAAAAAAAAAACCCCAATGGCCAAATGATTTTTGGTGATGCTAAGCCACATCACCAAACCAAAACTTAGTAACTAACCTAATTGCAATTTCAGCCTCTCTCAGGAGTGGAATTTTTGTGACCTGGAATTTTATGATCTGGAATTCCTGAGTCAATACGAGTGAAGTAATCAGCCAGAAAAGACCCCCTTCCTTCTCTGAAAGGAAGGTACTGCTGCCCGAAATAATTCACTCTTTTACCTCCCTAGCCCCACTCCCTTTCTGCCTATAAAAGCAACCCCTCAGAAGCACACTTTTAGTTGCTAGATAGAATGCTACCATATTCATGAATCGCTTAATAAAGCCAATTAGATCTTCAAATTTACTCAGTTGAATTTTTGTTCTTTAAGCCCAAGTTTTCTTTAAGTGGTAATGATATTTCTGACTTTAGCCAATGCCTTTCATCTCCCTGGGCCTCAGTTTTCCCATTTGTAGGAAGATAACATCAAACTAGATGATCTCCAAGGTCCCTTTCAACTTTGGCAGTATGTGTATGTGTATAAACTGGAAGGAAAACTAGCAGTGATTTCAGTCCTCTCTGACTAGCCCATTTTAGAGAGCAAGAAACTAAAGCCCAAGGCCACCCAGCAGAGGGTAGGATGAGGACCCAGGTTTCTGATCTCCCAGCTCAGGGCCACATCCCAGGGCAGGATTGCAAAGCTAACAGAAGCACCACTCCCTTCTCACCTTA